CACTCAACACCAATGGTATGGTTTTTGGTGGATGGGGTACTTTTAGAGTTCTACCACTGAATCACCAATGCCCCCAGAAAACCAGTTGCCACTGAGTGGATCTCAACTCATGGCAACCCTTATGTGTGTCAGTGTAGAACTGAGCGCCACAGAGTTTTCAGTGGCTAGGTTTTTTAGTTTTGTTTTGTTTTTTTCCCCAGAAGTAGGCTGCCAGGCCATTCTTCTCAGGAGTGTCTAGGGGGATTCAAGCCACCAACCTTTCAATTATCAGACAACTCAGCTAACCATTTAGACAGTCCACGGACTAAGAAAAATGTCTGTCTGTTTAAACCACAAGTTGAGCTTTATTAAGGACAGTATCAATATTCATATCTGGTATCAAAGTCAACTGGTCACACATTAAAAACAACAAAGACCACATATCTGAAACCTGAGGTGAGTAGAAATTACACACCTATAGGGGTTTGCTTCCACCACAGGGCAATTCATTCAATTTAATGTGCACCCAGTTAAGCAGATTTAAGGATTATATTATTTAGTTTTAACTGAACTGACCCTCACAACATGTAAAAGTAGCTTGAACTTTTTTCTGCAAAGACAAAAGTAGTAGAAGCATAAGCACACGAGAAAACAGCAGGGCTGAGACTGCACTGAGTGGGAGTCAACTCTGCAACTGTAAGAAAAGGGGGGGGAAATCCCAAACTATTACAAGCTATTTCTCACCCTTATTCTGATGTAAAATACTCTAGTCAGATCTGACATGACCATGAAGTGCTCACTAAAAAGTATTACTATATGAGAACATAGTACTGTTAACAGAAAGCACTAAGACTGCTGATTTTTCCCATACTTTATAAATATCTTGTTATTTATTATGTAGACCAATATTAGTATATCATTATATTGGCATATTGTATAACTGATGTATAAATCATATGACCCTATAAAACTTATGTACAAATAAGCAATATGAAAGAGTTTATATATAAACCCTTATATAAGGAATAAAACTTTTTTTACTGAGTTGGGGACATATCCCACAGTGTTGAACATCCACTGCTTCAGGTTATGAACCAAGTCTTTTTCCTCTTTAGGGTACTGATCAGTGGTGTCCAGGGTCAGGGAATTTTGGTAGGTTGAATGGAGTCCCTTAGTAGGAAAAAACAGTTAAGCATTGAGCTACTAACCCAATGGTAGGCACTTCAAACTCAGGCAGAGGCTCTCAAATGAAGGCAGACATGGAAATCTGCTTCCAGAAAATCTCACCATCACAAAAATCCTATGGAGCATAATTCTACTCTGCCATACTGGGGGTCAATAGTAACTAATTGGTAATGACTCCCCCCTACCCCTCCTGCTCAGACAAACAAAAAAGCGTGGCTATAATTCCCAGAATTTGTGAATATGTTTTCTTACATGGTACATGCAAATGTAATTAAATTAGGAATCTTGAGAAATAGAGATTATCTTGGATTAACTGGGTGACCTCAATGTAATTACCAGAGAATCAGCCCATAAATGTGAAGCCTGAAGGAAGCAAGAGGATGCAATGGAGCAAGGAAGGGGTCAGGGAATGCAGGAAGCTTAATCTAGAAGCTGAAATGGGCAAGAAACAGATTCTTCCTTCAGAAACTCTAACAAGGAATTTGAGGCCAGCACCTTGATTTTAGAACAGTGTAACTAATTTTGGGCTCTCAACTCCGCAAACTGTAAAATAACAAGTTAGTGGGATTTGTTTTGTTTCAAGCCACTATTATTTGTAGTAATTTGTCACAACAAAGGGCATTCATGGGATATAAGACTTTCAGAGCTTAAACCAAGATGACTTTGGTTACCGTAAGAAATTACGGTATGGTTATGTAAGAAATTACATAAAATAACCAAGGACACACATCTAAGTAAGAGGGGGGTCATATCTAGAACACATGCCTTCTGGACTAGAGTCAAAAGACCACAGGAGTCAGGAGTCTATGCTGAGTCCAGGCTGCCTAGGTTCAAATCTAGGCTCCAACACTTCTTAGTTGCTTAACCTTACTCTGCTAAACCATCTACCTTTACTGCTTCCTATCAGTAAAACGGTTAATAGCCCCCTTTTCATAGGATTTTTGTGAAGTTTAAATGTAAAATATATTTTGCATGCCTCTAGAAATAGCCGACAATATTAGCTTTCTTAATTATTCTGTGTTGCAACTACGGTGCATTTATCTCAAAACAAGGAATCACACAGTGTGCAAAAGGGAAATAATAGCTATCAGAATGAATAAGGAGATCGGATGGTTTTTCTGTGAAGCTAATCTACGGAGGAGAAGAGACATAACCAAGATCTACAAAATTATGTCACTCTATGTAATCACAAAATTCAGTCATACTGGTAGGATGAGGAGGGTCATCTAGAATACTTCCATAATATACACATATTGTATTTAAAAATCTACTAAATGTTACAGTTTAAATATAAATGGATCATTCAACATGGGGCAAATTTATGAATTGCAATGACAACATAAATGACAAATATGAGAAGCTTTGGCAACGCTTTCACAAGCCTTGCTTTCAAACCCTACAGTATGGCTTAGGAGCCCTGGGGGCACAATGACTTATAGCTTGGCTGCTAACTTGAAAGTTGGTGATTTGAACCAAAGCCCCACACACACACACCAATTAGTGTATGCTACCAGTAGATTCCAAGTTACAGCAACTTATATGCACACTAGAACTGCCCCAGAGGGTTTCCTGTATAGGAACACACTGCCAGTTTTTCTGTGGGGTAGCATGCTACAGAGCACGCCGTTATTCATTTTGCCATGAGGGCTCTTTCCCTGTAAAGATTACAGTCTAGAAAACCCTATGGGGCAGTTCTATCCTGTCACGAGGTCTCTCAGAGTCTAAATGAACTCTATGGCACCTACTAAAAATAACAGTTTAAGTTACCATGTTTGTGGAAGAAGAGGGAGATAGTGATGAGACATGACAGACAAGACTGTAGCGAGAGTTAGACCTCCAACTGCTCCAGTACTGTAATTTCAATATTTCCATTTCCCAAGAGCGAAGTCTCAAAAGATACAACAAACCCTTTGAAGATCACCAGAGTCCAGGTCCCTTCATCCAGTCTCATCATCATACATCCGAAAAGAACTCGTCTACTATTTTAAATGGCTCTGCTAAAGACTACCAAATGTTTCCCTATTAGCAGTCCAAACAAATATCAAAATACACTAAACCAATTGTTCTTAAAACTAGAGTTTCGTACACTTTTCACATTCTTTACTTAAACCTTCCCCATCCATTTTCTATTTCAGTTGATGGAACTTTGTGACTACTATTTTCAGGGTTACTATGAGTCAGAATCTACTTAATGGTAATGGGTCATAAAGTTTATCTTCAACGTTAGACTGGCTGGTTTTTCTCTAACAGGTCACAATCTCTCCATTCTGGCAACGGGATTTAGTTGGGAAAATATGAAGGTTGGCTTAAGCAAAAGATAGTCAGAAAAATCCAAAAAGTAACGGAAGTATGGTTAATTTAACTGTGTTTAAGAACCATACTCTAATGCTTGATTTATTCTCCACCATGCAATTTTAAAAAGAACAAAATAATCAAAGGTGCTTGTGCACCTTAAACTTGAATTAAAATTGTAATGCCTATGCCTTATAAAGCATTTCAGGATATGCTGCTGATGAGGGAATAATATGGTCAATCTGGACACGCTCAAGTAAAAGTGAAAGAAAACGAAGAAACAATCTAAAAAGGCCAAGGAGCCTCCCTCCCTCACCCCAGGTAAGTACCAGGTTTCAATATCTCATCTACAAGCTTTAAAGTCCATTTCCCATAGGAAATTCTTGGTATCCAACATAATAAAAGGTAGAAAGGAGGTGTTAAGACATTTGAATAATGTTCTGATAATGATGAAGGAAATTATCTTTGGCCTTAAAAGTGTCAAATGAGACAACATGACGTCAAATTATTTTCCATAATTTCACTTGCCTTCCAAACAAAATTCCCTCCATTCCAGTCTCAGTGCCTTAGTAATCCATTAGACACCAGTAAACATTAAAATATTGTTGGTACTTTGCAGAAATAAGCAAGAGAGGAAACTAAGTATCTAGATTTTAATATAGCAGAGGATAAATTGCTTTGACTGAAGAAGCATCTTTCAGTCACCAAATACCTAACCTCTCTGTAAATATTCCCTGGGAGGGATAGATGCCTTTTCCAAGAAGCAATCCCTTGATAGCAATCCCTTGACCTACATTAAAATAAAACCCAAACCTACCAAGGGTTACCAGAAGCTCCATAAAACTTTAGGAACAAAGCCATTTTCCCGCCCTCAAAAGGCGTACTCACTCCCTAATCCTAAAGGCACTATTCAAACCACACCGCCACAAGGTACTTTACGCACTACACCTGAGACCTCCTCGCCAACAAACAATTCCCCATCATCCACCTCCCCTGAAAAAAGTGCTTCGTAACCAAATTTCCCCCAAAAAATGGCAGGCCAAAGTGTACTCGAGGCCGAAGACTGAGGGAAAGAGCCAGGAGAAGTACTCCTTGCTTACAGGTAACTCTTACTCTCATGACTAGCCTTTTCAAAAGCGCCCGTCCAAACGTACACCTGGTGCGCTCCATGCCCTTTCACCGCTACGAAATCAAGTACCTGGCAGCAAATCAGTGCAACTCACCTACCAGCCCTCTCAACACTATCCCCCCCACCCCGCACGGTCCCCAGGGGGTAAAGTACCTGAGTACAAAGGCATTTGATGGTTCCCTCTATACAGGCGCCTCTTTCCCACTCACTCAGTGTCCGTGTAAATTCCAAAACAGAGCACGTAAATCCCCACGCCGCGAACTGCCCGGTCAGGCAGCGGGAGGGTGGCAGAGTAGCCAGGTTGCCGCTTCCCGGGGGCCTTGGAGACCCGCACCCAAAAGCCAAATTGATTGGGGGTGTGACCTGGGGCTGCTCCCCGCTCCCCCTTCCAAGGGAACTCCCCGCGGCGACTCACCAGACCAAGAAGCAGAGGCAGAGGCAGGAGACCAGGGCCAAGGCCCGCCGGTACTTCTTCATCTTCTCCTCCTTCCCCCGGCCAGAAGGCGGCACATCCTCCCGGCAGCCGCCACTGCCGAGGCCAAAATGGAGGAGCCGGAGTAGGGAAGCGAGGATGGGACGGAGCGTCCTTAAGGGCTGTGTCGCCGGAGCAGCGGCTCCCCGACGGCCTGGGTCCTGGTCGCCCTCCCCCAGGGACCCGCGGCGGCGCGGGCAGGGGCGCTTCACGGGAGGGCTCCGGGAACCGTCGCTGTTGCTGCGGCCGCCAGCTCGTCCGCGCCCGCCTCCTCCAGCCGCCGCCGCCGCCACTGCCGCCCCATATCTCCCCCGCCCGCCCCGACTCTCGCTCCGTGCGGCCGGCGACCAACGGCCGCCGTGTATTTGCCTCTCGACAGCCAATCGCCGGCGGGGCCGCGACACCTCACTCGCCGCTGAGCTGGAAGGAGCCGCGTCACGCACGTCCCGCGGCTCTCCTACGCCCGCCGGCCTCTGCGAGAGCCACGCCCCCTCCCTACGTCTCCGGCGGAGAAACCGGAGGAAGGAGGACGCAAAGCCGGGGAGCAGCGTCGCCACGGCTCCGCCCACCTCAGCCCCGCCCAGTTAATGCCTCTGTGGGCGGAGTAGAAACCCCGTGACCTTACACCGGCTTCCTTATAATGGCCCGCCTCCTGGCCCAGCGCGCTCCGAGTTCGTGCAATGCCCTTCGGGAATTGTAGTTCGTTCTCCAGAACCTTCCGTTCCCTTTCCGAGCCGCTCCAAGAATCCACCGTTTCCATGGAGAAGTATACAAATTCGCATTTCAACGCGAGAAATCTGGCTGTGAAATTGCTTCACACGGTTTTCGGCTTTTTGGCACAGTTCGTGGGATGTCCTAGGCTTACATGGGAGAGAAAGCAAAAACTGCACTAATAAAATTTTAAAGGCGTTTTCCGGGTTCAATGGGCTAGGCGCCGATTGGTAGGCAGAAAGGGGCGTGTCAACATTCTCTCTTATCTGATTGGGTGGAGAGGAAAGCCATTCACCGCTTCTCGGGAATTTCTGGTCCCACTGGATTCCCCGGTTAGAGTTGGCTTGAATTCTCCTCTCTTAGGCTAGTGCTTTGGTCCCTTTGCGTTGAGGCTGGAAGGAAACCCGAGGGCTTTGCTCAGGAAACGAAGTTCCCACAACTTCAAATCATGGGGTATAACGAAGGTGGAGAAGACTCCATCATGCTTACAGCCGGGAGCAAAAAGGAATAGCCATTTCTCAATCATCAGCAGCCAAGAGTGCCCACCCTGCATGTTTTATGCAACTGAGGCCCCTGAAAGGGCCACAAGCTAGTTTAGGGACCCTGTGCCCGAAACTCCAAAATGCTTGACTGGTTTTGAAGAACTTCTTGCACTTGGCTTTATAAAGGAAGAAGCATCAACTTCAGCTCAGGGGGTCTAGAAGACTTTAACCTCTCAGAGCTATAATATGTTCCTTCATTTGTCACCGCTGAGAAATTCATTTTAGACTCTTTTTTTTTTTTAATTTTTATTTATTTATTTATTTTTAATTGGGGCTCATACAATTCATCACAATACATAGATCAATTGTGTAAAGCACATCTATACATTTGTTGCCCTCATCATTCCCAAAATTCGCTAGCCTCTAATTTTCCGTTTTTCCCCCCTCCCCTTCCCTTCCTCCTCCCCTCTCCCCCATGCACCCCTAATAATTTATAAATTATTATTGTATCTTATATTACACTGTCCGGCGTCTCCCTTCACCCACCCCTCCGCTGCCCATCCCCCAGAGAGGAGGCCACACGTAGCTCCCTGTGATCCATTCCCCCCTACTACATCCCCTTTCCCTTCTGGTATCGCCATTTTAGACTCTTAACACTAGGAAGTTACGTTAGTCGCTACACGGTGTTTCACATTTTGTCTTAGCTGTGGGGCTACTCAGAATGAATCTGAGAAAATAGCCAGGATGGGTTTCAAATGCCTGTAGCATGGAGAACGTTCATTAAAGCAGGTGTTTCTAGCTGCCTGAGTGGCCACAGATTTAAAAATAAAAAGAAAAGTCTAAATAAAACACCTATCTGGTGCCTAAGTTTTATCCAGGCAATTTGCTTGAGTCATCTAAATTGAATTAATTGGTTAAATACATTTCCAGTGATCTCAATGACTCAACTCACAGTCCTATAAACCAAAAACCAAAGTAACTGCCATCAATTCTGATTCACAGTGACCCTATAGGACAGGGTAGAACTTTCGAAGACTAACTCGTTATAAGAGTAGTGTGTTAGATAGGGTTCTCTAGAGAGATAAAACCAAATTGCTGATAATTTAATATATTTATAAAGATAATTAGATATATAACAAGAAATGAACTGTTAAATCATATACAGATAAATATATAATACAAGAAACAGTTAAATTATAAAGCACTACAAATGGCTCAATTCAACTCACTCCTGTGAGAGAGTTGTGAGAGACTAGCAGTCCTTCAAGTCTAGTCTGCTGCCAGATCTTCCTCTATTTATAGAGAGGGCTAGGCTTTCTCAGCACAGTAACCAATCAGAAGGCAGGTCACCAACTGCCAGTCCCCAGCTCCAGAGATGTCTTAAAGGGACCTCAACTTACAGCGACACAGTCCACAGGCTAGGCGTCCCACAGGTAGTGTAGCCTGTAAATTGAGGCACAGGACAAGCAAGGCAGCCGCACACTGGTCCAATGATCAAAGAGTGAGAGACAAGAAAGACGAGGCTCACCAAGCCATTTATCTCTCTGCCCTACAGTTAATCCCACTTGTGTTTATCAGCCAGGCTGGCACAATAAACTATCTCAAGTAGAAAGCCTCGTCTTTCTCCCTCAGAGGGGCTGTCGGTTTTGAACAGCTGACCTGGTGGTTAGCAACCCAATGCATAGCCACTATGCCAACAGGACTGCTTTTCACTGTCCAATGTAAGTCAGAATAGTTTGTAATCTGGTGCAAAAAAGAACAACAATAGCAGAATAGGGATTATTTGGCATTCTTTAGTATGTTGGATACCCTTTTCTCTTTATGCCCCCAAAACTGAACTCAGTGCCTTCTTGTCAATTTGTATTCATAGCAACCCTATACGACAGGGTGGAACTGCCCCTGTGACTTTCTGAGACTGTTTACAGGAGTAGAAAGTCTTATACTAGGAACTAGATTGTTCAAGGTAGGGAACATGTGATCCCTCAGCTGATCCCCAGTAGAGTATAGCCAAGGAAATTCTTTTAGAATGCATAGTCATCTAAAACCAGCTTAGTTGTTGTGTCTATGCTGTCCCTTCACCCTCTCAATCTAAAGCCACTTCTTTTTGGCATGTGCCCTGCAATGATCCTTTGGAATAAATAGCTAGTAAATAGAATTTTTCTTTTCTTCTTTCCTTTTCCCCTGAATTCAGGACTTTATCAATATTTGTTACTGTTAAGAGCTGCCTTGGTTATCAGGAGCCTTAAGCGTAATGAGTTACACACTGGGCAGCTAAACAAAGTCAGTTTGAAACCACTGGCCACTCTGTAGGGGAAAGATAAGGCTTTAGACACCAATAAAGCATTAAAGCCTTAAAAACCCACGGGGAAGTTGTACCCTACCCTAAAGGATCACTATGACTTGTAATTGACTTGATGACAGTGAGTTTAAGCAAGTTTTTGTTGTCTGGAGCTGCTTCTAAGAGAAAGACCACAAGTGGATGACTTAAATAAAGAAATTTATTATCACAATAAGAGGCTAGGAGTCAAAATACAGGTGGGCAACTGTGCTTTAGGGGAAGGTCTTTATCTCCTTTCAATACCTGCCATGTACCTTGGCATCAGTCTTCTTGGTCACGATATTTCTCAATGCCAAGTCTCTGAGTCCCGATTCTGCTTTCTTGTTGGTACCGAGACCCTTCCTCTGCTTATTTCTCTCTTCTTTTCTGTAGAAGGTGATGCAGGCCACTCCCCTTACATAGGACCAAGGATATGACGTAAGTAAGAGTGTTGCACCACACGCTATTCCACCCTATTCTTGCCTCATTAGCAGAAACATGACCTAATCCTCATTAATATAACCTAATCCTCCCTCACTAGCACATGGAGATCAGGATTTACAAGACACCATCATGGGTCATTACATCAGATCGCATCATGGGGGATGATTATATCATTGTATAACTGCCCAGTTATGGCCTAGCCAAATTGACATATATCTTTGGGGACACACAATTCTGTCTATGACAAGTGCCATCTATTTGATTTTTGACTTGTGGCAACCCCATGTGACAAAAAAGAACTTCAACAGAGGGTTTGCTAAGCTGTAATCTTTATGGGAACAGATGGGCCTTTCTCAATGGGCCTTTCTCCCATTGAGCCATCGGCTGGGTTTGAATTGCCATCCTTTTGTCTAGCAGTCAAACATTTCAATGATTCGCCATCAGTGTTCAACTGACACTTAACTTCTTTCAAATTTTCCTGCTTCCGATTGGTCTACTTTTTTTCTCTTTCTGCCAATTTACTCTCAGGACCTTCAAATGGAGCTTCCGGTTAAAGTTTGATCCACAATTCTCTGGGCTTTAGTTACTCATCTTCTCTTGGGGTCTTAGCATTTCTATTCTCAATTACACAGTCGAACCTCTTTAAGTAGGATATTGATATCACTTGCATAGTCTATCATTTCCAATTTCGCCTGCATAAATTATAACTTTTTTCATTTTCTCCTTTAGTTTCTTTGCTTCGCTTTCTATTTGTGTTAATGCTTCATTTTTTCTAGACCATCTTAGTAAAGATAAATACCCCCATACTTAATATTCTGCTACACATAATCATTCTGCTATATGTAATCAGGGCAATGGGAATTGGAGTTGACAGCAAAGATCTGCTCGTATCTAACCTATGCCAAAGGAATGGAGGAGAAGTAAAGGGAAATTAAAGCATGCATATAATCTTTAAGGCCCAGGCCAAGTAACCACCATTCAGCACCTCTTAGCTACACTAAAGTGATTCTCAAACAGGATTGATTTTTCTCCTAGGAAATATTTGACAATGTGAGGAGTCATTTTTGGCTGTCACAACTAGGGGAAAGAAAGAGTATTCCTGGTGTCCAGTAGACAGAAGCCAGAGAGGCTGCTAATCATCCTACAATGCACAGGACTGCCCCTATCCCCACAACAAATAGTTAAAAGTGCCAGGTTCTGAAAACTCTGCTTCAGCAAAAT